CAGATGCTTGGCAACTGGTTCATATTTACGATGGTTGCAGTGTCCCAGGGTCATGGGATAAACTTGCATTCTTCTGACAAGCAAAGACAATGGGAAAGCCAGATTCATTTAACAACGGGGTTACTAACAACAACTTCAATGATTCACTTAACAGTGGTGGCAAGAAAAGTCGTAAAATGGGGCAAAAGTCATTTAACAAATTTATCACTTAGCAACATAAATGTTGGGCTCCATTGGTTGTAAGTCAAGGACTAGCCGTATTCCAAAAGGCAGCCACAGCAGAGAATGCTCTTCTGGATCCCACAGCTGACAGGATCTACAATATGTCTCCTCTGCTGGCACAGGTGGGGGTAGGCTAATACCATCAGGTTGAGATGGTTCCTCAACTAACCTGTATCCTTGCCTTGCAGGGGTTTAAAGGTAATAACCAACACCCTGAACTGAACTTGGAAGTAAACCAGCAATGTGTGCAGCTGGCGGAGGCGTGTAACATGGCCCATTCTGGCAGCCCTAAGAACTGCCTGCACTGCCACAATTTTGAATGCTCTTCAAGGGTAGTCCCACGTAGAGTGCATTGCAGTAGTCCAAATGTGAGATGACTAGGGCTTGAATGACTGAGCACAGGGTTGTTAAGTGAGTAACTATGTTGTTAAATGAATCATGTGGTCATTAAGCAAATGTGGATTCCCCCATTGACTTTGATTGCCAGAAGCTATCCGGAAAGATTGCAAATGGTGATCCCGTGACAATGGGACACTGCAACCATAGGAAATGCGTACTAATTGTCAAGTGCCCAAATTTTGATTAAGTGACTGTGGACAGGCTGCAGCAGCCATAAGTGCAAGGACAGGTCGTAATCAATTTCTTCAGTTTGTTTGTAAATTTGACTGGTCGCTAAATGAATGCTTTTAAGCTAAGGACTACTTATAATTAATTAAAGTGGGCGTAGTGCAGAGCCTTTAATGTAACAGCTTCCAGTTGTTTTTAATTGGAGTTCAAGAATATATAAGGCTATGTGGTATAGTTGCCTTGATTTGGGAATGAAAAAAAATTCTGATTGTAAATTGCTTTGAATGCAATTTTATTGTGAAAAAGTGGATGTAAATGAAGTAATATATTATTAAGTACATTAGGCCCTTACAAATGAATGATTTGATTTCAAGGAAGTTCATGCTTTCAAATTGAATCAAGTTCCTTCAGATTGCTTCAAACTCAATTATATTTGATAGACTTCCTGGCTTTGCAAAGTCTTGAACATTTTTCTTTGATATAGTGCACTTGCTATTCAGCTTTAAAGCATATATTACAAATTATTTTTCAAAGAATTTTCTCATTTACACAATTGTGATAATTTACTAGGTTTTTTTAATTGTCCCCAATTAAAAAAAATCTCTCCCTCTTTCTCCCCCTTTCTTTCTCCTGCCTTTGAAACACAAATTCAAATTAAATAATTGAAAATATTGTTTCTTATTGGAATGTGGTTGATTGATGCATCCTGTATTACATCCTTTTAATCGTGAATTGAAATATACTGAAAGAATAAGAGTTAAAATATTATTGTCATTCTAAATGTAAGAAAAGTTCAACCACAAGGAAAGCTTTACTCTGGCAATGGTAATGCATTGCAAGAAACTCTGCTTAGTTCCACAAGCTTCTAACCCTGACCCTAACAAGGGACTGTTGTTATGCATAGAATTTCATGTCTGCTTTTCAAACATCATAGTAATTTTTTAAAAAAATCTAATTAGTTTTATTTTTACAAATTCTCATTTGGCACACACTTTTTATGATAGTTTCTAAATAATTGACTGAATGATGAGCGATTTTGAGGAGTTCTGAGAAGGAAAGGGTAAAAGTTATATTGTTCTAATTGTGCTTGTGTGTGTATTTTACAATTACCCGATTTAAAGGTATTTATCTTATTGTTCACAGTTCAAAGTTACTGTACGTTAATGGCCTTTCTGTAAAACAACCTGAGAGTATCAAAGCAATAGAAACAGACAAAATATCAACAATATAACATGAGCTTTTAAAAAAGGGCATAGCAGTAATATCAGTGTACTTCAGAGTTATACTGTTTACATACAGTAACTTGCTCTGCCATTCTTGGTTGGGATAGATCATCTTCTTTGAAGTTCCTTGTTGAGAGCTGTGTTTGGTGTATTTGCTGTTTATCTTAGAACTTATCTTAGAAAATGCCTGGGTCAGGGGTCCCCAAGCCTGGATCCATGCACCAGCATTGGTGCATGCCAGAAACTGGGCTGCGCAAACAAGTGAAGCCCCATCCGCTGGATGCAAGCAGCACATGAAGCCAAGCCCCCTCTGGTCCACGAAAAATCCCTCTCCACAGAATAGATCTCTGGTGCCCAAAAGGTTGGTGGCTGCTGCTCTGGGCTGTTTGTTTTCTTCCTTACTTTTGGTTATGTATTTAAATGGTTTGAGAAAAGGGTTTATCTCTTATGTTCATCCCTGCGTTGCCTATGTTTTCTACTGGAAGAAGGCATATATTGAAGTTGACAAAATGTATACGGTACAGTTTTAGATTGATTCTCATATTCTTGAAAAATATAGACAGCTTATATATGATTTGGAATTGTTCTATTTCAATGTACAGTAATAAAATTTGAACATAAATAAGAATATTATAGTATTACTGCTAGATCCTATTCAGGACTACTCACTGGATCTTGAAAGGAAATAAATATTTGTTTTGCAGAATGCAAATAGCTCTACATCTAGAATTATACCAAAATTGATAAAAGAAGAAGATATTCCATTTCCATAGGATTCCCAACCCACACTCTTCCTCAGTGATGCATTCTTCCATCTAAATGGGTAAAAAAATCTGCCCTGTTCTATTTTATCTCCTACCTGGATATTTATGCTTAGAAAAAGTGCTAGTCTTTAATAGAAAAATATAAGCTGATATAAATGGACGGTGCAATTTTATACAATAAATAAAGTAAAGTAAGCGTCTCATTTGAAAATACTTTTTAAACCTGGAGTCCCCAACCCCCAGGCCATGGATTGATACTGGTCCATGGCCTGTTAGGAACTGGGCCGCACATCTGGAAGTGAGTGACAGGTGACCGAGTGAAACTGAAGCCATCCCCCTCCCCGGTCTTTGGAAAAATTGTTTTCCACAAAACTGGTCAGTAGCGTGAAAAGGGTCGGGGACTGTCATTTTAAACTATAGTTTTAAAGTATGAGCCTTCAGACAGCTAGTGGTAAGTACTGAATCCATTCATTTCTGTCTATAGTGGTAAATAGATGTAAGATCTTTCATTCAATCTCTGTTGGTAATGACTTATTGCCTTCTTTTTTCTTTTTATTGGTTTTAAGACAAACATAGACAAACAAAACATAAAAACATCAAGCCATCTTCCATATATATACATACAGTGTGTCGGTTGGTTTACAAATTGTTTTGTGCTTTCATTTTGTAATCTTCAATTACAATTACGTTGTATATATTCTCATATTTTCAATCAAATATTAAATACATTAATATAATTGTTAATCATTTGACTATACTTTTATTCATGTTTTACAAAACAATCCATATTTTACTTAATTTGTTTTATGACAATTCATATCATCAACTCAAATCTATCCTACAATCATTTTGTAGATATAATAAGAAAAGAATACATCTTTGACTTATTGCCTTTTTATAGCAGTGGGAAAAGTATACAAGCTGCTTCTTGGACAGAAAAGCTCTCTTAGCAACTGTTATGTCTTCAGTGAGCCACAGATAATACATACTGTGTGTTCTTTTGAGCTTTAGAAAATGACCGGCTGACAATTGTCTCTTTGTGAGTCATCAGCTGCTTTTGAATACTGAATTTTTAAATGTGCAATATTTGATTAATCCCTGAATTTTAAATAGTCTGGAGAAGCTGAGAGTATGAAGCTCTCTAATATATATATATATATATAT